ACCCTGCCTACATCCCACCTTTCTTCCAACCGCTCTTCACTCACCCTAGACTGGACAGTTTTTAGCAGCAGGACAGCTTCTTTGTACTTGCTGGCAGCATCTCTGTATTTCTTCTGTTGGACCAGAGCATTGCCCTGCATGTGGAGAACTGGCACCGTCTGCAGCTTTTCATCCTTTTCCATCATCCACGACTCTCTCTGGTAGGACATGGGGTCTCCTACCTGCATAGGAGAAGAAGATAAATGATGCAAGTGAATTTTAAACAGGTGCCTCTGTTCAATTACATTAGGTGAGAAATTTGTCTATTTTATTACGGTTATTTAAAGCTACAGTTAGTAGTTATTTCGGTCCACCAATAGCAATAATAATTGTTTAACCTTAAACTTTGCTTATATACTTTTAATTTGTGATAATGAAACTTTTACGTAGGTAAAGGATCTACTTTTGGAGACTGAAGAAGTCATTTTGATGAGTTGCAAAACATTTCTCCCACTGAAACGCTAGGTCCAGATAAATAGAGTCAACTTTTTGGAATTTCTTTACTTGGATCATTGAGCATGCATCAAGACATTTCATAAAGTATCTCAATTTTTCCACAGCTGAAGATTTGTCAGCTGATGTGAAGCAGAAATAATGTGAATGTACGGCCACCAATACTGGACTCGCTAATTAGTCTCAAGCTTGTTTGGGAAAATATAATATTTCGAAGCTGAATGTTTTAGACAGAGAGGCACTTTAGTCAGTGCTGTCAGTAAATTTTAGAAAAGCATAGGCTGGTGTAGCGTAAGCTAAAAAGTGGGAGAAGCTGTTCATTCTCTTCTGCTGTTCACTGTCACTGTCACAGATGCTCACCTGCAGCAGCTCCATAATAAATATAAGCGGCTGAGGAGTCCGCATCAGCTCATCCAGCTCCGGGAAACCCGTGGAGTGATAGTGGAACAGGTTTCCCATTCCGCACATGTGTCTCTGACCCTCTAGAGGGTCTTTCCCTTGAGCGATCAGCCTCATTCCCTTGGACACAATGGGGTACAAGCCTGTGTGCTGTGAAATTAGCACATCAACAAAATCATGCACGCCACATCTAGAATAAAACACAGAAGCACTTAATCATGCTAACCCTCTGGTTCTGGCTGCCCGTGCCAATCAGCCGTACAAGAAAAAACACAAGAAGTCGCACAATTTTACTTGCAAATTACATTTTCCTCCAGAAGGAAAAACAGAAAAAAATGCACAAAGAGATTGCTTTGTTTATGTTTATATTACTGAGCATGTTGGAGGCTGCAGAACGTTGATTCATGTGCATTATAATGAGGAGTAAAAGCTTCGCTTTCCCAGTCATGAACACTTATTACATCCTCTCAGGGGCCGGATATCTCAGAATGTGTGCGTGCGGTTTGTAATCCAACTCACAATGGCATCACACCAGAACTCAGCCACCTCTCCAACACGCATGGACGTCAACAGGGTCTCCCAGACTTCCATCTTAAACATCTTTCCGACAAAGATCTCTGCCGGTCTGCCAGCTAGTCGGCTGTCATCAATGACTGTCCTCTCGAAGTTGTCCAACAGTGTCTGGAAGTGGAAAACCAGCTTGGAAAGTGGGAACAGGGAGAGTACAAGAGATTAATGACACAAACTACAGTCAGTGGAGACTTCACTAGACATATAAAGTGGCCACTGATTTTTCAACAAAATATTTAATATACAGTGTGGTGAAAAACATTTAGCCCTTTCCTTTCTTAGCTTTTTGCATTTTTGTAACATTTACATATTTCATGAAAAATCAAGTTGTGTACAAAACAAGACAAAGATAAGCTGAGTGAGTATGAAATACAGTT